CTCTCCCCCGGGCACATCCCTCATCTCCTATTCGGAACCAAGAGAGAAAAAGACCAACGGATCGTGAAAAGGCTGTTAAGTCGTTTCTTTTGGTGTAAAAAATATTATGAAAAAGAACACCACGCCAGAACACCACGGACCTTCAACAGAAATCGTCTGCATACACAAATTGAAGAGCGATGTCAATTTTTTGGAGTGGGGGGGTGATGTCCTAACGAGTGTTCGTGCATTATCTCCCTGACAACGTCGGAACCAATGTGTGAAAATGCCATATTTCCTCCTGACGGGCGCTTGCCACAGGCAATTTTGTGCGGCAGTATGGGCGTGTACAGAACGGTAGAGAAAGCATATTGGTATTTTTTTTTTCACGAATCGAATTGCTCGAACGAGGTCTCTTTGCCCCCCCCCCCTCCTCTCTCTCTCTCTCTCTCTCTCTCTCTCTCTCTCTCTCTATCCCTCTCTCTGCTCGTTAGCCCAAGCACCATACAACCGCGACGGCTCCCCGCTCCTCGCTTTAATCGAGGCGCTGGAGCGCGCGAGCTCTGATTGGCCGGGCGGCCGGCAGCGCTGCGCTGTGATTGGCTGAGCGGCAGCGAGATGTTCGACGCGTCGCGATCGACTTAATTGATCCCGGCGAAGCCAGCAGCAGCCAGCCCTCCCTCCAAGGGATCTCACACGGGTGCCCCAGCCAGAAATGGAATTCGATCGACGTCGAATCGACGTCGACGTAGCTCGAAAAACGCACTTTATTTGTCACCCCAATCGAGGCATCGAGGTCGAATCGACATCATATCGACGTCAATATACAATTTCCATTTCTGGCTATGGGGTGACGTTCCACGTGAGAGGGACCTATACACTCAAGCCTATACTACACTCTCAGACCCCTGATTTATTAACCAGTAGCTTATATAAGTTTTTACGCAGCAGGATTACTGACTAATTTGTTACTTACTCTGTATATTGTAAGTAAGTCACTGATAGAAAAACATTGTCAGGTAAGTGTTTAAAAAAAAAATTTGTATTACTGATGAAAATAGTGGCTAGTAGCCTACAAGGGTTTTTACGCTGCAGTTGCGCCTGTTTTTCTGCCCCCCCCCCCTTTCCATTCGGGTGGCATATTACCCATCCGTTTTGAGAAGAGAAAATACACGTACATAAAGTCGTAGGTGTGGATACAGAGCTCACGAAACGCAAGCGTGATTTTCACGCAAGGCGTGATTTTTCACACCAGGCGTGATTTTTCACACCAGGCGTGATTTTTCACGCCAGGCGTGATTTTTCACGCTTCGTATGCTTCACACAGCCAATCAGGAACCGACTTTCATCATGCCTAGCGTGAAAATCACGCCTAGCGTGAAAATCACGCCTAGCGTGAAAATCACGCCTAGCGTGAAAATCACGCTCGCGTTTTGGGAACTCTGTATCCACCTTATTAAAATATCAACCTTTAAAATACACATTTCACTTCAAGCAGTGTCCTCTTGTTTTGTTTTGTTGTTTTTTTTGTGTGTGTTTTCTGTTTTCTTTTCCTTAGTTCCATTACGTTGACATTTGCCTTTCTTTGACGTTAGACCTCTCCCGCTTTATCACAATAATCTCGAGGTTCTCTACCCCCCTCCCTCCCACTCGATCTGTGATTACGGCCAAGCAGTTTCAGGTCCCAGTGCGCCTGGAGGCAAACGGGAATGGG